TGATAAACTACAAGATCGAGTCGCCTTGACTTTATGCAACTTGGTGAAGATATTTATGCCTTCATTCTTCACAATTATGGTGCATCTGCTAATTCATCTTCCTCACGAAGAAAGAGTTGGTGGACCAGTTTTCTATCGATGGATGTACCCTAAAGAGATGTGTTAATTGAATTATATGTTTTATGTATACTACTGATTATACCTTTTAATAAAATTTATTTACGTATTATGTTGTTTTGTGTATATGTTCTTGGGCAAGTTGAAGTCTTACTATCGTAATAAGCGTTATCCTGAAGGATCAATTGCTTAAGGGTATTTGGCAGAGGAATGTATGACATTTTGCTCTAGATATTTGGAAGATGTTGAAACATGATAGAATAGACCAAATCGAAATGATGTGTTCAGTACTAATGACTTACCTAAACATTATTTGTTTGGAAGTTATGGTCAACCATTAGGGAAAGTTGAAATTGCATACTTAGATGACACGTCTTGGGTACAAGCACACTGATATGTTCTTTTCCATCACGATTCAATAGATCCCTTTCGCACGTAAGTCTTTCGGACCCAATACTAATGAAATCTCTTAATATTTTATATATATCATTTTTAACGACATAATATACTTTATAGTGAGTTTAAAGAAGTCTTGAGATCTCGTGCACGCTCCCGAAGATTACATCAGCGAGAGATACATAAGTTATTTACAATAACTTTTCATGAATGGTTAGGCCAGTAGGTAAGCAACTAAATCATTCCACATACTTATAAATAATATATGTCTTGCTTTTTATATCGAAATCAATGCAAATTAATTCACCATTCATGTGTAATAGGTTTGGAGTGGGAGAGAAGTTAGTGAAGATGTTAAATGGCTTTCTCAAGGCCAGAATAGAATAGTTAAAAGATATAACGCCTTTCTCATTAATGGGTTCAGGTTCCATACGAAATCTCGTGAAAGATTAAGGAGGACACAAAATTGTGGAGTCGTAGTTACTTCGTCAACTATAAGTTATACTAGTGTTAGGGACAATAATCCGCATGAGGGAGATGTTGATTATTATGGAATTCTTACGGAAATTATTGAGTTAGATTATTATGGAAAACAAAAGGTTGTGTTGTTTTGGTGTGACTGAGTTGATGTAAATAAAGGTATAAAAAGAGATAAATTCGAGTTTACAATGGTGAATTTCGCTCGATTAATTCACACTGGTCAACGATTGATTGATGAACCATATGTATTTTCTTCTCAAGTGAAACAAGTATTTTATTGTCACGATCCAATGGATGACGGTTGGTATGTTGTGATCTGTAATACTCCCAGAGACTTGATAGACATCGGGGATAGAAGTAGAGATGACATTGAAACAAGATCAGAATGTTTACCTCTAGTACCACAAAACTTAGATGAATCTATCACTAATACAACACAATTTCAATGGGTTCGGGAGGACGTTGATGAAGATATTTATGACAATTGACATTACATAAGAATCTCATAAGATTTTATATCTTAATTTATTTATTTATAATATTATAACTTTTAACATGTTATCTTTCAATATATTCATTAATTAAATCGTTTTCTTATTACAAATGTTTGTTTATTACATATATCATGCCGAAGAGAAAAATAAGTGATTTGCGGGTTGTTCGAGCTTTTAAAGACCATGAAAAAACAAATAACGAGGAATCGAATATTGCTGACTCTTCCGAAGTTCCTATAATTGTTGAAGAAACTGTAGAAATTCAATGTAATCTTCGAAACTTTATTTAATAGTTTGTTCATTTTCAAAACATACATTTAATAATTTCTTATATAGTTGAAAATATTGGAACACGCAAGAGTAGAGGACATACAACGTTGAAGGAAATATATCAACTTCCTCCTGGGCACCGTGTCAAAGTTTCAAGAAAAGATGTCGGTCAACCTATTGGCTTAGAAGCACGTCTTCTATCCGGTTACTTAGGAATAGTTGGACGTAATGCTAATCTTTTACTGATCAATTATGAGTCATGGCGCGAAATGCCTAATAGTAACAAAAATCAGGTGTTGAATTTTGTTAAGGTAATAACGTCATTATAATAAATACTCTATAACAATTTAATACTAATTTATACTTACGTTGAACACTTATTTGTTGTATAGGAGAAATTTTCTTTAGAGGTCTCTGACGATTATGTGAAGCAAGAGTTAGGGAAGAGATGGAGAGACCACAAGAGCTCCTTAAAAAAGAAATACTTCAAGAATGATCTCAGCCTTGAAGAGAAGCTACAAACTGTCCCACTTGGAATGCTCAGGTACCAATGGGAAGATGCAGTCAAATTTTGGAGTTCACAAAAAGGACATGTATGATTTATTTTTCAAAAATAATTTTAACAAATTATAAATCATCATTAAAAGTGGTTGTTTGAAATTGTAGGAGCGATAGCATGTTGGTGTTGCTAGCAGACAATAATAAAAGTTTACGCACACGGCTGGATCGAAGAGCTTTGGTTGTATAGCTAATGAGGAGGCATTATAGATTATTCACACAGTTATTTGTATTTCATGTACATATTAACTCAAACTAATTATATTATGGTACATTATAGGAAAATACATCTGGTTCTAAAGTTGGCCGAATCAAACTCTTCGACATGACACATACAAAGAAGGATGACACTCCTATGACTGCTGAAGCTGCATAAATTATAGTATGTTTATTGGATAGAGGATTTGAATTATGTTTTATTTATATATGTAGCATGACATTTTTAGTTGAATTAATTATTTACTTTATTATTAGGAAAAATTGAGGGAGAAAATGGAGGAGTATCAAGCTTCGGCTTCGAGTCAAGGTCTTATTAATGAGGATGACATTGAAAACCAAGCTATTAATGATGTTTTGGGTCCTGAAAGATATGGCCAGGTGCGATGCGATGTCAAGGATCATTTGTTACTCCCACCAAATATTTTGGATCCAATTCATCTCAGTACATGTTATCCCAGTCTCAGTCTTCCCAATTAGAAGTTAATCGGTTAAAACAAAAGTTTGCTAAAATGGATCAACAAATGGCTAACATGAAAGCCGAAAATGAAGCAAGGGAAACAGAGAGAGCAGCACGGAAGCACAGAGAGAAGCAGCATATCAGTAGAAATGTCAAGAATTTGAAAAGCGACTAGAATCTATGATGCAAATGTTACAAAAATCGTAACCTCATAATCCACCAGCTTAGTCTTCTTTATGTTATTAGTTTTTTAATGTTATCATACAATGTTTAACTGCATTACTATTACGTTAATGTAAACTTTTATTTATTATAATGTATTTGATGTTGGTTGTTATGGAAATTGAGTTTCGTGTTATTGATTATATGTTTGTTGGATAATGGAACAGGTTGGAAAAACGTACATGGGGTAATCGAAGAAAAAAAAAATTGTTGACATTTTTGTGTTCATTAGCGGCGTTTGTAAAAAAAGCCACTATATACAAGTCCTTTAGCGGTGTTTATATCCAACAAACGCCGCTATATACAAAAAACGCCGCTATATACAAGTCCTTTAGTGGCGTTTATATACGACAAGCGCCGCTATACACAAGTTCTTTAGCGGCATTTATATCCGACAAACGCCGCTATATACGAGACCTTTTGAGGCATTTGTATAAAAAAATGCTGCTATATACCAGACCTATTACGGCGTTTGTATCCAAAAAACGCCGCTAAATATCTTAATCTTTTGAGGCGTTTATAAAAACGCCGCTATAAACATACGCATTTTGCGACATTTGTGGGACAAACGCCGCTAAATCTCAACACCTATTACGGCGTTTTTTATATCGCCGCAAGCGTTTTTTACGGAGCTTAAAAACACCGCTATAGGTCAAAAAAACGCCGCAAATGTACAGTTTTACTGTAGTGAAGAGAAATGAAACAAAAGACACTAAAAATATTTTTTTGCACAATCTTACTCTGGATGCCCTGGATGTTTTTTTATTCTATATTAGATATTGTTGGATGTAGTCTCTATAGAAGGAAGTTTGACAAGATCAATGCTATAAATGCTTGACTTTGTATGGATTAGGGTTTATTTGACTGATTGTGAGATACTTCAGTCCTTATAGCATCTTATTGTTGTTGATCTTTGGATATAATACTTATATTTTATCAAAAAATATTCTTATTTTCATCTTGGAACAAATTTAGTCATGGCTGAATTTCGTGATATTCTTTATCCTCCAAATAAATTTGTAAGCTTGTAATTAGGTACCAACATGTTCAATATGAACTTGAATTGTTTTACTTTGATTTTGTTATTGGGTCTTATAAGAAGCAGGGACGAAGATATGCTTCATTCAAGGAAGCCACTGCCCTCTTAATATTTTATTTTAATGAAAAAATATATGAATAAAATATCTATTTAGACATTCTAGTTTGATTTTAGTTTGATTTTATCCCTCATAATTTTTATTGTTAATTATATTTTACCTCTCTTGAATTGGTATTATGACTTTGGCACTTCACGATCTTCACTTTGTCCTTACTTCCAATATATATGAACATTGATTTCATTTCTTAATCCACATCAAGAAAGTGGAAGAGAAGAATCAGAATGTGCTCATCGTTTTATGATATAGACTACCCAATTCATATTTCATTTGTTATTTAACTTGTAAATTTGGAGGGATTGATTAGGGATGACGATGATATGTATGGGGACTAAATTGATAAATTTATAAATATAAATAATTAAATTTTGAATTAGAATTGAATTGATAAAATATATAAATTTTAAAAATTGAATATATTATTATACCAATCCATATCATCATTATACTATTAGTGATCAAAAGGAAAATTTTAGTAATAATTTACCCTAATATTATTTATTATATGCAACTTTTTTTTTGTGTGAACAATGTTTATTGGCTTGGGTCCAAAACGTAACATAGTAGAAGGGACAAGAGTCATAGGCAAGACTTTGTATGATTTATTATACCTCATAGGTAAAACATGATGCAAGTACAAAAGAAAGGATTTCCATCTCCAAAAAGTCTCAATAGCTGCATGACTATTTTCCCCTTGCTATCAAAGTTACAAATTCTGAATATTAGGGTTTTTCTGTTGCAATTCTAATTTACAGAAGAGAAGAATGAATCAATGGCATAATGACGTATTCCTTGCGCGATCGGTGTAACCATCGGATTCGTGGCAGGAACTCACATATCAATCTGTAAACCCACTTGACAGTATTCAAAATAAGACATTTCAGATTTACCATGTAAGCTGGGAATCAATGCCGTTGATCATAGACATCCCCTTGGTTGGGAAATGGCGGAATGTTCGATCCCTCTTTGTTTTTACTACAAACACTGTCCATCCCTTATTACAGCTACTCTGAAACGCATACCAATAGCCCATTTTCAAGGCAAATGTTTCAGGCCTAGACAATAGAAACCGGAGAGAAAGGAAGGTTGATCACATAGGACGCTGGGACAGCTTCCACCTTGCTGACATTCTTCTCCTCCGTGACTGCTTTTATTAAGAATTTCACTTCCTCGTCGATAAGCTTTTTTAATGAATTGTATTGCGGCGAACGTTTGGTTTCCATCTCCCCAACAGTAGCAGAGGTTTCTGTACAATGCAGTACAACAACACAAATGGAAAATGCTTGTAACGCGGATAACTTTGCATGAAAATCAATTGCATACCCTCCTTCAATGGCTGTCATGGTCAATGCTGGTGTATTCTCTTTGGCACCCTACAAAGTAATTACATTGAATTAGTTATTAAAATTGCATACCCTCATCCAATAATCTGGTGGAACTTTCATCATGCAGACTAGATTTGAGAAAATATTGCTTTGGAATGGAACTGAAATCGCACCTGAAGAAAAAGTTCAAATGGCTGCTTGCTATCCACCAGTGGTTGATCTTCGAAAACAATTTAGATTCGGATTACCAAAAACTACAAGAGGACAGGCCATGTCCCAGCCACCGCAATCGCAGCCTCCGCCGAACCTCCACCTATCCAGTAATGACGAAAGACCCCGGGTTTCAGCACAAGGAAAGCCATGATTTCCAGTTGGAATAATGACTTTCACCTTCTCTTGGCTCCTGCTGTATTGTATCTTGCTTTTGCTTTCCTCAATCATAGAGACATTTAGTAGATCTAAATGCCTCTTATCATCAAATTTATCCCCTCTTCTATATCTTAAGCTCTCTCTATTCATAGATGATACTTGAATGACTATGGACGCAATTTCAAGGTTCGGATGCAAATCGACAGGTATTCCATTCCGGAATTCAACCTCATCACTGTCCAATGTATGGTTTATGTGATCTTTAAGCCTCACCACATTAGAGTGATCATCAGCTGATCTGAAGAAAGTGGCTTGTTGTCTTGCACGAGTGGTATCATACAAAACAAACTCTGTAACCATGCATTTTTTGACATCTCCACCATCATTAATTTCTGAGCACAAACGGCACGAAACTTGCATCTGCGCAACAATTGATGCCGCAGCTTTGCTAAGATCACTCAGTTCCGGTATATTGGCTTTGCTCTTCTTTTTATTGTCGACGGAGTGGAAGGTATATACCCAATTGAAAGCATTATCTGCCTTTGATGCTTTGGCCAGAAAAACTTCTTCTGGTTCATTCATTGAGAACTTAAAATATGGCACCCCATGTTTAGCTCCCAACTTGAGACAACCATGTAGGTGAACCGGCGAGTGAACGCCGTCTTTCTCAACAAAGTCAGAATCCAATTTAGTATTTTGAGGTGAACGTGAGAAGTCATGTAACAAAGATTTCCGGAAAGTCTTATTTCTTCTCGTACTTTCAATCAAACTAGATTTCATGAATGGATCAAACATTTTTCTAATAGGAGTGAACCTGGTCCTTGAGCTGGCACTGGAAATCGAGTCACTTTCAGAGGTACATTGTGAATGAGGCATCTTGATCTTAGCAGAGAGAGAGCTGTGTGGATTATGAGCTGCATCGTTTTCAACAAGGTTGATACCATAGCCTAAAGGACTAACAACCGGTTCACATGGAAAACTAAGGTCCATCTTGTTATCTGCCCCTAGAGTTTCCCCCAACAGTTTTTCTTTCTTGTCTGAACATAGATAGATTTCGATGAAGTCATCTGATGAGCATGACTCCGAATAAGGTCTGCTAATGGATAATGTGTTCAGCTTCGAGCCGGCATACATCACTGGATTCCTTTCTTCTGAATTACTAAGAGAATCAATAATTGTGAAGGGAAAAGAGGTGCCAATACCAGACACTAATTCGAATTTTCTCCTCCCAATGATCTATAGAAACTGTGTTCAGCTCAGCATTAGTTTCTGCCAATGAATCTACATGTAACGTTGTTACAAGAAGCATGGATGCGACAAAGCCGATATCCGAGAAAGCCTCCTTTGCCCTCAACAAATCCCCTGTACAACATGAAATAACGGTGTTGGGACTCAGATCAGATGAGCAGTTCTTCTCTAAGGTTTTCCATTGACGCATTTCCAGTCCTGCAAGAATGCAAGCCATATAAAATTGATCCATGACAACCAAGTTATTCCATATAAAATGAATGAATAGACAGTAAAACATCACTAATGAAGCTCAAAGAAAGACCTTATTAAGCAAGAAACTTCTGTTCATTATTCATATATGAAAGGCTCATTTGAAAAATAAATACTCAAAACTGTGCATCTTTTTCAATTAACCAAAATAAAGCTAAAACCTTTGAGCCAACCAGGAATCTCGTGATCTCTATAAACACCCTGAAAAAAAGAGAAGTGACAAGGATAAAGGCATATACAATACAATTATTAAAGAAAAACAGCAACTTTATTTCACTGCCATTCCAATGCCAAAAAAAAAAAGTGGCCAAAAGAAATTTCTAGAGAAAATGGGCATACCCAGTATTCATATTATTGAAGTGAATTAAAAGAAAAGATCAAATAGTTGTAAGAAATATGTTATCATACTCTTGAATTCTTGCGCTGAATCTACAAGAAAGCAAAGAAGAAAAACACCAAAGACCCTTCTCTAATGAAGAGTCCGAGAGTAAGGACCCAACAAAAGAGAGGTTCAATGTGAAATAAGAGCAAAGTAAAAAGTAACAAGAACACTGGATCAGTGTTAGAAAAGCTTAAGAGACAAAAAAAGTGTTTTTTTAAGAGAAAACACAGCTTGTCTGTGTTATAGATTGTGTTTAGGAAGGTAGTACTTGTTCTCTTCCTTCAAGCATGAACTGTTGGTAGTGACAATGAGTTGCTCAGCTTCTGTTCATGATTTGTCAAAAAGAAGTCTTGTTTTAAGTCATCATATGCTTGCTTGCTGGTTCTGTTGTCACTAGTTACTTATGTATATCTTTTTCTCCTCTCCTTAGCATTCTGTGTTTTGGTAAACTATCGAAATTATCACTTTCGTTTATTGAATGTTCACTTTTGACTATCAAATTTAACAAAGTAATATTTTGGTCATTGGTACATGTTAGTGAAAAGGTTTACTTTTAATTTGACCCCTAAACTTTAGTTAAAATATCAAGTCAGAGGTGATTACAAGATAATATTTATTCAGAATTTTCTTCATTTATTAACAATGTACACAAATCTTACAAATATCACTGTTTGAACTTAAGACCTCTAAGAAGATTAACATTCCTTTTTACTATTGAAGCTACTTGATAGGTTGAATTTAAGTAATACAATTTAGAATAGCCACTAGTGTTGTATTATATGTTACAACATATTTTTGTATCAATCAATGACAGTGAAATTAGATTAGCTATATGACTTACTGAATGGAAATGCTTGGCATCCTCCTTAAAGATACATCACAGACGTGTGATTTTATATTAAGGAGTAAACTTTTAAATTTTAAACTTTTACATTTTTTGAAAGAGACGAATTTATAAAATTTTAGGGGACAATAAAATATTTTCAATAGAAAATACATAAAAATCCAAAATATATGATAAATTTAAATTTTTAGAATGGCGACTGCTCCGCCTAGGCCTGTAAATGAACTGAACGTTCAACGAACCATTCATGAACTGCGCGGCGGGAAGTTTGTTTATTTCGTTTATTTATTAAATGAACGAATATGAACAAGATTTTGCGTTTGTTTAATTAAATGAACGAACACGAACAAAGGGCTCGTTCGTTTGTTCATTTACGTTCGTGAACGTTCATTTATATATTTGTTTATGTTCGTTCATTTATGTTCATTTATGTTTGAACATAGGGCAAGTTGAATATGTTACGAAGATTATTGAAGTTGTTTGGATTTCAAGAAGATTGTTTTGTTGAACAAATTAACTTTAAGACTTTATTATGTTCATATAGCTTATTTATGATTTATGTATGTTTTTGTCTTATTCAAACAAATTAACTCTAAAGTTGCATATTATATTAAAGAATTTTAAGTTGTTATTCTTTTTTTTACTTTTTTTACATTCATTAGTTGTGTTCGAATAAGTTTATTTTTTGTGTTTGTGTTGTTCGTTTATGTTCATTTATTATGTTCGTTTATGTTCGTTCGCATGTGTTTGTTTACGTTCATTTATGTTCGTTTATCATTTAAATGAACGAACATGAACAAACTATATTCCTTAATGAACGAACATGAACAAAAAAAAATTGTTCGTTTATGTTCGTTTTCGTTTATGTTCGTTTATTTATTAAATGAACGAACATGAACATACCTCCGTTCGTGTGCGTTCGGTTCGTTTACAGGCGTAGCTCCACCCACTTCCATCGTTCCATCCTGTAAAGACGTAAAGTTGAGTTAAATCAGTTCCGCCACCAAACCACCGTTGTGTAGGTGCTCTAGGAATGTACATATTTTTAAGATGAATGACCATATAAACTTGCATCATTTACGTTAGAAGCACAAAATGCCAAATACAATGCATAATCACAAAGTATCAAGAATAAAACCAAGGAAAATCAGGCCAAATTTAACATTTTTCATCAAGACCATGAAGAACAAATCCCAAATCTAACCATATAGCATAATATGCATTGCTACTGAATCGCCAATACAACACCAACAACAAAACCCTATTCCCATATACAATGGGGTAAGGGGGAGGTAGGATAGTAGGCTGCCCCAAACGCCAGGTTGAGAGCAGCTTCCGTGGAAGACCTCCGGCAGTCAGAAAATTAAAAATAAAGATAAAATATAATGCATGTATAAAATAAATAAATACATAGTTGAACAGTCTTCATATGCAAAGAAGGAAACACAAAAGTCATCGATAGCATGCTACGAGAAGGAATAAAGTCAAATGGGTTAAAACCTAAACTAAGGCAACACTACTCTGCTACCCTAGTTCTAAGCCTTCATAAATTCCAATGACAGAAACGTATAAAAGTAGAGGTCATGGAAATTACTACAAAGGCAATTAAAAAGAAGACGGAGATGATACACCTTATGGTTGTGACCCACACTACTCGGCTACCCTGGTCTTAAGTCTCCATACTTTTCTATCTGAGGTCATGTCCTCGGTAAGGGCTAAATCCTTCAAATCAGATCTCAAGTAGTCTACCCACTTCCTCCTTGGTTGTCCTCTCCTTCTGGCACCGTCGACTGTAATCGACTCTACCCTCCTGACCGCATCCGACTGTTGTCGCCTAAGGATATACCCAAACCACCGTAGTATTCCCTCCCTCCCTCAATTTTTCGGATACAGGCACCACCCCCAAGGACATCCTAATTGTCGAGTTTGGTGTCATGTACCACAGAGTCCTACCACATGCCCATCGAAGCATTCTCATTTCTGCGGCCTCCATCCTCCTTACGTGATCCTTCTTGATTGCCCAACATTCTTATCCATACAACAACGCTGGTCTTATTGTCATTCTATAAAAAATTCCCTTAAGTTTTAGAGGCACCTTCTTGTCACACAAAACTCCAGTAGCAGCCCTCCACTTTAGTCATCCCACCTTTATACGGTGAGAAATGTCATCATCTAGACCCCCATCTTTATGTATCATAAACCCTAGGTACTTGAAACAATCCTTTGAAGGGAGAACGTGTCATTCGATGCATACTTCTACATCTTCATCATTTTGGTTCTCACTGTAGTTTGAACATAAATACTCTGTCTTTTCAATATTGATCCTTAGACCTTTTTTTTCCAAAGCAGTCTTCCAGGTAGCTAGTCTACTATTCAGATCATTTTTTGTTTCAGCAACTAGGACAATGTCGTCAGCGAAAAGCATACACCATGGAACACCATCTGGTTAGATGTCGTCCATAATCAAGGCGAAGATGTAAGAGCTAAGAGCCGACCCCTGGTGGAGTCCGATTTCTACCGGGAATGCCTCGGTGTCGCCAACTATAGTCCTGACGTATGTAGTAGATCTACAGTACATATAACGAATCGCCCAGATATAAGTAGTTGGGATCCGTCTCGTTTCCAAGGTCTTCCAGATTATATCACGGGGTACGCTATCATATGCCTTCTCAAGGTCAATGAACGCCATGTGAAGATCTCTATTTTCCCTCTATATTTCTATATAAGCCTTCGAAGTAGATGAATCGCCTTCGTAGTAGACCTATCTGGCATAAAGCCAAATTGGTTTTTCGAAACCCTAGTATCATGTCTCAACCTAGCCTCTATCACTCTTTCCCATAGCTTCATGGTATGACTGAGTAGTTTAATACCTCTGTAGTTACCACAACATTGGGGATCTCCTTTATTCTTATAGATTGGTATCACCGTAGACTATCTCGACTCCTCTAGCATCTTGGAAGTCTCTAAAATAATATTAAAATATTGGTCAACCACTTTTCTCCCTCTTCTCCTAGGGTCAGCCACACTGTGATAGGAATTTGATCTGGACCGACAGCTTTGTCCCACCCCATCTTTCTAAGGGTCATTTTAACTTCCTCAATCCCAATCCTGCTAGTAGGACAGTCATTGGTCGTAGTATGATGGACGGCTGACCCATCAACATTACTATCTCTACAGGGAGAGGCACCGTTATTAAATAAGCCAAAGAAGTAACTACCCCAAACCCTATTAATATCATGATCTTTCACTAAAAGAACGCCATTGATGTCCTTAATAAACCTAATGCTACCTAAATCCCTTTTCCTAATCTCCCTGGATTTTGCAAGCCTGAAGATGTCGTTTTGTCCTTCCTTGGTGTCTAATCTCTTGAACATTTCCTCGTATGCCTTATCATTTGCTTTAGCCACTATTTTATTGGCTTCCCGCTTTGCCTCATTGTATCTTTGTTTAACTCTCGATCTTTCTTCGTCGTCATTGTATTATAGCAACTCCTTGAAACAAGTTTGCTTTGTCTTCACCTTAGTTTGGACTTCGTCGTTCCACCACCATGATTCTTTATGTTCCTTGACATTCCCTGTCGACAACCCAAGGGTGTTTTTGCCCACCTCTCTGATGGAATTTGCCATATTTTTCCATAACATAACTGCATTATTTGAGTTTGTAGTACGAAAACATGTATGAGACAAAACCTTACTCCT